AAAGAAAACACATGAAAAGGCACGATTTTTTTTAAATTCGAAAAAATGTAAATATTTCAAAAACGGTGACACTTTTACCTGAACATTTTTTGTTTATCAGTGAGCTCACCCCCCCACCTACCTTGCCCTAAAGTTTGGCACGTTACTTCTGGGACACCCTGTATAACGAAAATTTCTTCGATTAAGGCACAAAAAGTTTTTGTACACATTTATGTACATACAAAATGTATTTAACAAAGTGTGATTGATTTTGACATTGCTCTCAGAAGAACCCTCCTATTAAGTCAAATAGAAAAAAATTTTTATGAATTTTTAATCGTTTGTTTTTGTTTACATGTTTTGGCATAAATAATAGTACCTTAACAGAGAACCGACCTGAGTTGTCAATCACACCTTGTTTTATACACCTTGCATACATATGTACATATATGTATCGAAAATGAACGCTCTACGTCACAAGACTTTGTTGGACAGAATTTAAAAGATGAAAATTATCCAGGTGAAAATATTGCAACATTTTATTGAAATGTTGCTTCAAACAAAATATTTTTGTTGCTAATATTAAGCAGTTACAATAGATGCAGAATAAAACTCCCTGTTCAGTTCGCAACACACCTGGAGTTGGATTCTGTAACTGTGAGGAAATGTAGATTTTTATTAAAACCCGCTAGAGAAAGCAACAACAATTTGTGACCAGAGATCATAAGATCGTCTGCGTAACAGCGCCCTTAGATGTACCGCAGAAAGGCTCGGAACCATGCAAGCGCATTTGGGCGATTTGTGAGACAGTCGGGCCCCTGCGTTTACTTCATGTCCCGGAACCCACCACAGCGTTACGCTATAGTGGGCTCCCTGGGGGCTCAAAAGGGTTTTACAGCAGAATCTAAATCAAAAAGTGCTGAAGAAGCTTGCTTTGTGAACAGTTTGATACAGCTACAGAAAATTGAAAGCTCGGAATGGTTTCGCTCGGCCCGGCTCCGCTTCCTGTGTGAACGTGTCCTAAGGCCTTCAACGCTGCCGGACTGTATAATATTTATTCTGGTCCCATTTTTCCTTCTACGAAGTCATTCGCAAGCACAGACTTCGATTGCGAAGACTCCTGCCTTGAATATGGTTGGTGTTTAGGTCTTGCATCGACTAGCCAACTTATATGCTTTATATTCTTTTATTAGTGAAAGAGATCAAAAAACAAAAAGTTAGTTACAATTATCTATTGTATCAAGAAGTAAGCCATGACATTTTCACGCTATTCGCATGGCTTTGATTTTTTACATTTTGTCCAGCCCATTTTTCTTATAAATTATTTGTGTGTTCTGTACAGTATTGCTAGATTTTGGGCTATGCCACTAAATTTGTGGCCCAGAAAATCATGTCTTCTTCCAATTAAGCCAAGGAAAACCAAATGTTTGCGACATCTATGCTTTAAGGGTTCATTATGGCACAACAAGACACAAAATTACCTACAAACTCTTAAACAAAAACAAAGAAAGATTCTCTCCACATTTATGCATTAATAAATAAACACCGTTGTGGCACTCCACTTATTCACTGCCCAACTTTGTGCTGCCTCAACCTGGCACTTCAGTGCCAAGGTTACG